TCAAGTCGTTGTGACTCAGGTCCAGGACTCTCAGACTAGAGGACTGGGAACTGAGGACTGAGGCCAGAGCTCCACAGCTTCTGTCTGACAGCTCACAGCGGCTCAGTCTGGAGACAGAAAACATGGTTATGTAGTAGTTGAATGAATCCTGTGTTAAACAAAGGTTACTCACAGAGCTTTGGTGGAGGCCTTGACCACTGGCAGCAGCCTCAGGAGAACCTCCTCTGAAGCACAGTATCTGCTCAGCTCAAACTGGTCCAGATCTTCTTCTGATGACAGTAAGATGAAGGCCAGAGCTGACCACTGAGCAGGAGACAGTCCTTCAGACAGACGTCTTGACCTCAGGGTCTGTTGGATCTGCTCCACCAGAGAAGAATCATTCAGTTCATTCAGACAGTGGAGCAGACTGATGCTCCTCTCTGCAGACACATCCTTACTCAGCTTCTTCTTAATGTACTCTGCTGTCTTCTGATTGGTCTGGGAACTACTTCCTGTCTGTGTCAGCAGACCGTTTAGAAGGCTCTGATTGGTCGACACTGAAAGGCCCAGGAGGAAGCGGAGGAGCAGGTCCAGGTGTCCGTTTGGACTCAGTAAGGCCTGGTCCACAGCTGTCTGGTAGAATTTAAAATATTTTTCAATGAAAGAATTCTTTATCGTGGACATTATGGACTTTTTCTCTCCCAACACATTAATTCCAGTGTTGATGAAGGTCAGATGGACGTGAAGAGCAGCCAGAAACTCCTGCACACTCAGATGGATGAAGCAGTAGACCTTGTCCTGGTACAGGCCTGGCTCCTCTCTAAAGACCTGTGTGAAGACTCCGGAGTACACTGAGGCGGCTGCAGCGTCCAGCCCACACTCGCTCAGGTCACAGTCGTAGAAGATCAGGTTTCCTCTCTGCAGCTGCTCAAAGGCCAGTTTTCCCAGAGACGCCACCATCTTCCTGGTGTCTGGACTCCAGTGTGGGTCCGTCTCTGATCCTTCTTTATACTTGATGTTCTTGACTTTGGCCTGAACCACCAGGAAGTGGCTGTACATCTGTGTCAGGCTCTTGGGCAGCTCTCCTCTCTCTCTGCTCTTCAACACATGCTCCAGGACTGTGGCAGTGATCCAGCAGAAGACTGGCATGTGGCACATGATGTGGAGGCTTCTGGACGTCTTGATGTGGGAGAGGACTGTGTCGGCCTGTTCTCCGAACCTACTCCTGAAGTACTGCTCCTTCTGAGAGTCGCTGAACCCTCGGACCTCTGTCACCATGGAGACGCACTCTGCAGGGATCTGATTGGCCGCCGCGGGGCGTGTGGTGATCCAGAGGCGAGCGGAGGGAAGCAGGCTCCCCCTGAGAGGAGGTTCACCAGCAGCAGGTCCAGAGAGACGGACTCTGTGGGGTCTGAGAGGACACGAGAGCTGCTGAAGTCCAGAGGAAGTCTACACTCGTCCAGTCCGCCACTAGTTGGCAGACATGTCAGACTACCTCCCCCCCCCCAAAAAACGTCATGCTCCCATAGAAAATATTCGAGCAAGACCGCGTTGAACTAGTGCAGAAATCATTGTGAAGCGATGCAGCTGCGGGGCAGCCTGCGAGTGTTATAGCGCACCAAACACTAACTTTAGACACTTTGCACAGGGTCTGCAGTGGGAACAGTGTTTCTCAGAGTAAGGCAAAGTCATTGGGAGGTTCGGAGACAGGTTAGATTTGCGGAAAACAAGCCTAGAACTCACGTCGGGGCACCGCGCCACGACCTCCAGCCTCCGCTGCAGTTTCCGCCAAAGTCTCAGCTAAAAGTGCTTCCCACATATTTATTTTCAAGCCTCCCGTAATCACCGGGACAGTAACGTGTTGGAGAAGCCTTGTCTTGTGTGTGTTAGACGAGAGAGAGCAGGGGAGATGAGAGAGAGAGAGTGGGGGAGACAGCTGCAGCAGGAGGGTCGCGGTGACGCGCTTCACCTGGAGGCGCGCGTCTGGGCAGACTGCTCACAGCAGCACCATGATTTGTATTTTTTACTATTTTCATGAACATTTACAATGTTACAGTGTGTGCTCTGTGTGTGTTCATGTTCTAGTGATCAATATATGTCTGTCAGTTAGAAAAATACAAATATTGTATGAAAATTCTATAATCCACTATTTCTAACGCCAAATGACGTCATAATATGCAAATTAGATGGGGGGATTTATTCTCTACATAAACTTTGGACCATCCTTGATATTTTTCTAATTTACAGAAAGCCTTTAGCTCTTATCACTTTTAAGTTATAGCCTTTTGAAATTAAGATGTCAAAATCGAGCGTTTTGGAAAAAAACCTCTGGCGCTTAAAGGGTTAACCTCTTATCAAAGATGGAAATACATGTGACTCCATCCATCCATCCATCCATCCATCCATTTTCTTCCCCTTAATTCCCCCGACCCAGAAATGGGTCGGGGGGGGGGGTGGCAGTCAGAGATGCCACCCAAGTCACATGTGATTCATCTCGTGGAAACTAGCACAAAGAGTCTCTTTTCTTGTATGTCCAAGACATGCGCACTCTGCAACTGGCGGTGGATGAGAGCTTGGTGTCTTGGTTGAGTGTATTTTAAGAACTTTATGAACTTTAGTTTTAGTTATTGTGGTCGACTGGTGCATGTGACGGACTGGTGCTTTTATCAACGCAACCAGAGGCAAGTGACCAGCTTTATTGTGCTGGCAAACCTTCTCCTTCGTCTCCTGGCAAACAAAATCAATGGAGCTGCAGTATCTTCTTTTGCAAGACTTCAATACACAAGAGATATGCTCCTTGAACTGAAACTGAGTTCCATGTCATCTGTCCCAGGCTTCGTCTGGCAATCCGCAGGGATTTTAATCACGTGGCCTTGAAAAAGAACTTAAGAACTTCTGTCAGAATGTCTCCTGGCCAACCAGGCAGAAGAAAACACTGGACTTGTGCTATGGATCTATTGAGGGGCCTACAAAGCTTTTCCAATCCCTCCACTGAGCTCCTCAGATCATAGTTTTGTGCAGTTAGTGCCTACTTATGAGACCGTTCTGAAGAGAGTAAAAACTGAGACCAGGAATGTAGAAGTCTGGACTCAGGATGCTGTACTTTCACTACAGGAATGCTTTGATTGTACGGACTGGGATGTCTTTACTCAGTCATGTGACGATGACCTGGACACCTTGGCTGATATGACCTGCTCTTATGAGGCTTTTTGAAGGGACATGATAATACCATCCAAAAGGGTCAAAATATACCCCAATAATAGGCCTTGGGTTACAAGAGCTGTAAAGTCCTGCTTACAGAAAAGGGCTTTAGCTTTTCAGCAAGGATCACAACCTGGTATTCAAGAAGCCAAGAAGAAACTTAAAATTGAAATGCTTAAAGCCAAATGTGCTTACAAATCAAAACTGGAAAATAGGATGGCAGCAACAACAACATGGTTCAGCCTGGACAAGCATGAACATCAATGCTGGCTCCAAAATGGCCAAGCAAAAAAAAATTGTTTTAGAGGGCTTTGTATCTGACAGTGAACTGGCCAATTACTTTCATGAGTTTTGCTGCCGTTTTGACTCTTTTGACTTTAGTTGGGAAAATCTTGATTTGAAACATGATCTTGTTGACACGGTGGCTGAGTGGTTAGCACTCTCGCCTCTCAGCAAGAAGGTCCTGGGTTTGAATCCCGGTCGGAACAGGGTCTTCCTGAGTGGAGTTTGCATGTTCTCCCCGTGCCTGAGTAGGTTTCCTCCGGGTACTCCAGTTTCCCTTACCACTAAAAACATGCTCACTAGGTTAAAATCCTCCAGCTCCGGTCCTGACCCAGAGCATCAACATCTGGAGATGGATTCCCAGACGCTGTTCTACAGCGACCGCTGCTCCTGACGTACGCCTTAGTGGCATCAGGATGTGTGTTGTCAGTGTGTGGAGGAGAAGGAGTGTGTGTTGTCAGTGTGTGGAGGAGGAGAAGTGTGTGTTGTCAGTGTGTGGAGGAGAAGGAGTGTGTGTTGTCAGTGTGTGGAGGAGAAGGAGTGTGTGTTATCAGTGTGTGGAGGAGGAGAAGGAGTGTGTGTTGTCAGTGTGTGGAAGAGTAGAAGGAGTGTGTGTTGGAGAAGGAGTGTGTGTTGTCATTGTGGAGGAGAAGGAGTGTGTGTTGTCAGTGTGTGGAGGAGAAGGAGTCTGTGTTGTCAGTGTGTGGAGGAGAAGGAGTGTGTGTTGTCAGTGTGTGGAGGAGGAGGAGTGTGTGTTGTCAGTGTGTGGAGGAGAAGTGTGTGTTGTCAGTGTGTGGAGGAGAAGGAGTGTGTGTTGTCAGTGTGTGGAGGAGAAGGAGTGTGTGTTGTCAGTGTGTGGAGGAGAAGGAGTGTGTGTTGTCAGTGTGTGGAGGAGGAGGAGGAGTGTGTGTTTGTCAGTGTGTGGAAACATGGTAGAAGACTCCTTTTGGCTCAATCTTTTGGGTTGATGCCATTTTGCCACAGGACGAAAGAGCCATGTCAGCTAAAAAGACCGCGACCAATATCGTAATGCCAAGCTCCGTAACAGAGTGTGTGTGCGCCCGACGCTGCATTGGAGCGAGGACACTCGGCTGCGGCGTGCTGATCTCTGTGCTAAAATCAAAGATTATAACCGGGAAAACTGACCTGAGATCTGGGAAAAAGGTGTCAGGGCAGGGCCTCGCGTTTCAAGTTCACACAGGGCCTCGCACCCCCCTTGCGACGGGCCTGGGTACAGAGGATCACTGCCTTTAGTGTCCCTGTGCTACAGCACACAGGTACAGAGGATCACTGCCTTTAGTGTCCCTGTGCTACAGCACACAGGTACAGAGGATCACTGCCTTTAGTGTCCCTGTGCTACAGCACACAGGTACAGAGGATCACTGCCTTTAGTGTCCCTGTGCTACAGCACACAGGTACAGAGGATCTGCCTGTAGTGTACCTGTGCTACAGCACACAGGTACAGAGGATCACTGCCTTTAGTGTCCCTGTGCTGCAGCACACAGGTACAGAGGATCACTGCCTGTAGTGTACCTGTGCTACAGCACACAGGTACAGAGGATCTGCCTGTAGTGTCCCTGTGCTACAGCACACAGGTACAGAGGATCGCTGCCTGTAGTGTCCTTGTGCTTCAGCACACAGGTACAGAGGATTGCTGCCTGTAGTGTCCCTGTGCTACAGCACACAGGTACAGAGGATCTGCCTGTAGTGTCCCTGTGCTGCAGCACACAGGTACAGAGGATCTGCCTGTAGTATCCTTGTGCTGCAGCACACAGGTACAGAGGATTGCTGCCTGTAGTGTCCCTGTGCTACAGCACACAGGTACAGAGGATCGCTGCCTGTAGTGTCCCCGTGCTACAGCACACAGGTACAGAGGATCACTGCCTGTAGTGTCCCTGTGCTACAGCACACAGGTACAGAGGATCACTGCCTGTAGTGTACCTGTGCTGCAGCACACAGGTACAGAGGATCTGCCTGTAGTGTCCTTGTGCTACAGCACACAGGTACAGAGGATCTGCCTGTAGTGTCCCTGTGCTGCAGCACACAGGTACAGAGGATCTGCCTGTAGTGTCCCTGTGCTGCAGCACACAGGTACAGAGGATCTGCCTGTAGTGTCCTTGTGCTACAGCACACAGGTACAGAGGATCTGCCTGTAGTGTCCCCGTGCTACAGCACACAGGTACAGAGGATCTGCCTGTAGTGTCCCTGTGCTGCAGCACACAGGTACAGAGGATCTGCCTGTAGTGTACCTGTGCTCCTGAGTCCTGACTTTGTACCTTTGGACCACTTTCACCTTATTATTATTGTATTGGGGAGGCCTACTGTCATTCGTCGGTTTCATATTATTATTTTTCGGCAAGATCAATTTGATTTTTGACCCTGAAGACAGGCACGAAAGTCTGAACATGGGGGGTCAAAAACGACAAAAGGCGATTCGATAGCGCCCCCTGGAAAAGTCAAATTTGCAAAGCCTGTGGGAGCCAGGCATGCATATTTTGGAGTAGGTACATGAAATTCAGATCAGTGATAGATCTCTATGAGACGAGCATAAAACTCTCTCTGGGCCTCACTCTGGGACCAACAGGAAGTCGGCCATGATGGGCTGAAGTTTCGCCGCTAATTTGACTTTTCATCTCTTACTTTGAACTAGTCCCTGGTTTTTCATCACACAGAGTTCTACCACGTCATTTCCTAATCTGGACGGATGGAAGTTACACAATCATCAAAAAAAGGTTAGAAAATCATCACCGTTTTCGTCCCTCGCCATGGCGAATAAGGCCTTTGTTTTGGCCGTTTTCGCTGAGCCCTGAGGGCCACAGGCTCAGACCTACAGAGCTGAACAGAGCTAACAGTTGGCAATGGCCTGAGCGTAATGGTGTGAAAATACACACCTTATATGACTCTATAGCGCCACCTATGGAAGGCTTCTGACCTTAACTTTTCCAATCCTCACCAAAGTCGCACAATGAATTCTTTACGTCCGTTAGAGCAAAATACTATCCTACGCAGAGAGTGCATGTCCCAGACGTGATCACTAGGGGCGCACTTTATCCTATTAATGAGCTTTTATGTACGTAATCCTGGTCGGATTGGGCTGCCAATTCGTCGGCGAGTACGCCACGTGACACTTGTGGGATTGGCGCCCGGGAGGCGGTCGCGAGAGTGGCAAGGCCTTTCATCGCCGCTTGCGGCTTTAATTATTACTATTTTCATTATAATTATCAATATTATTATTTTATTTTATTTTTACCTTATCTATTGCGTCTCTCTTTTTTAACTGCAAAAAGAATCTACCCACGGGTACATATAAAGTCACCTTGAACCTTGAAGACAAATTGTCACAGACAATAAAGACTAATCCAGTCTTTTCTCCTGAAGTCAGAGTGTCACAGGTTTGTGTGTGTGTTGTTTTGTGCGTCTGAAGCTTTGTGTAGTGTGTGTATAATAAAGAGAGAACAGGACACATGGACATGAGTCACATCTGTGTGAAACTAGTCCTTCAGCTCAACATCTACAAACGACTGAATGACAGACCTTAAATATGGAGACCAGGTGAGAGCAATGGTGCGGACCACTGGAGACATCTGCAGCCACTCTGTGGAGAGACAGAGACACTTATGTCCATGAGACAGAGACACTTATGTCCATGAGACTGAGACACTTATGTCCATGAGACTGAGACACTTATGTCCATGAGACTGAGACACTTATGTCCATGAGACTGAGACACTTATGTCCATGAGACAGAGACACTTATGTCCATGAGACAGAGACACTTATGTCCATGAGACTGAGACACTTATGTCCATGAGACTGAGACACTTATGTTCATGAGACTGAGACACTTATGTCCATGAGACTGAGACACTTATGTCCATGAGACTGAGACACTTATGTCCATGAGACTGAGACACTTATGTCCATGAGACTGAGACACTTATGTCCATGAGACAGAGACACTTATGTCCATGAGACTGAGACACTTATGTCCATGAAACTCACACTGTCCTGAAGTTCCATTGTTTATCCATAGACCGGTCACTCCTGAAGTGCCATAGTACATCCTTAGACCGGTCACTCTTGAGGGACTCACATCTGGGACCAGGTCCAGACTGAAGTTTGTGGAGGATCCTGAGACACAGAAGAAGAGAGCTTCAGTGTTGGAGAGGCCTTCACCATAGGCTGCGTCACGTCCACAAACACACAGATATCATCTACACCTGGTATCTACACCTGGTATCTACACCTGGTATGAGCTCTGTCCATGTCTTCAGGACACTGTGTCTGTGAGCTGCTGATACAAGGAGTGGGACTTACCAAGGACCAGCTCCTCTTTATCATGGTTTAGTCCTGGTTTAGTCCTGGTTTAGTCCCTGGTTTAGTCCTGGTTTAGTCCTGGTTTAGTCTTGGTTTAGTCCTGGTTTAGTCCTGGTTTAGTCCTGGTTTAGTCCTTGTTTAGTCCTGGTTTAGTCCTGGTTTAGTCTTGGTTTAGTCTTGGTTTAGTCCTGGTTTAGTCCTGGTTTAGTCCTGGTTGAGCCCAGACATTTCACTTCTGCAGTTCCATCTACAGGAGGATCTTTGAGTGACGTCGTTGTTTATAGTTGTTCATAAACAATCACTAACACAGACACATGGTACTTACTTTCTGGTCACTAACACAGACACATGGTACTTACTTTCTGGTCACTAACACAGACACATGGTACTTACTTTCTGGTCACTAACACAGACAGACTGATCCTTATTGTTCCTGAAGAAGTCTCTGTCGTGTTGCTCTGAAACACACAAGACCAAGGAGGAAGTCGTCACAACCGACTCAACTGGTTTGGCAGATTTCTCTATAGTCTCTCTCTGGTTTCTAAATCTGGAGTCTTCCTGGTCTCTCCCTCTGATCTCCTTCTGGTCTCTCTCTTTCTCCTCTCTCTCTCTCTGGTCTCTTTCTCTGGTCTCTCTCTGGTCTCACTGTGGTCTCTCTCTGGTCTCTCTCTGGTCTCTCTGGTCTCTCTGGTCTCTCTGGTCTCTCTCTGGTCTCTCTCTCTGGTCTCTCTCTGGTCTCACTGTGGTCTCTCTCTGGTCTCTCTCTGGTCTCTCTCTGGTCTCTCTCTCTGGTCTCTCTCTGGTCTCTCTCTCTGGTCCCTCTCTGGTTTCTCTCTGGTCTCTCTCTGGTCTCTCTCTGGTCTCTCTCTGGTCTCTCTCTGGTCTCTCTCTGGTCTCTCTCTCTGGTCTCTCTCTGGTGTCTCTCTCTGATCTCTCTCTGGTCTCTCTCTGGTCTCTCTCTGGTCTCTCTCTGGTCTCTCTCTGGTCTCTCTCTGGTCTCACTCTGGTTTCTCTCTGGTCTCTCTCTCTGGTCTCTCTCTGGTCTCTTTCTGGTCTATCTCAGATCTCTCTCTCTGGTCTCTCTCTCTGGTCTCTTTCTGGGCTCTCTCTGGTCTCTCTCTGGTCTCGCTCTGGTCTCTCTCTGGTCTCTCTCTGGTCTCTCTCTCTGGTCTCTCTCTCTTGTTTCTCTCTGGTCTCTCTCTGGTCTCTCTCTGGTCTCTCTCTGGTCTCCCTCTGGTCTCTCTCTGGTCTCTCTCTGGTCTCTCTCTGGTCTCTCTGGTCTCTCTCTGGTTTCTCTCTGGTCTATCTCTGGTCTATCTCTGGTCTCTCTCTGGTCTCTCTCTGGTCTCTCTCTCTGGTCTGTCTCTGGTCTCTCTCTGGTCTCTCTCTCCGGTCTCTATCTCTGGTCTCTCTCTGGTCTCTCTCTGGTCTCTCTCTGGTCTTGCCGTAGTCTCTCTGGTCTCGCTGTTGTCCCTCTGGTCTCACTGTAGTCTCTCTGGTCTCACTGTAGTCTCTCTGGTCTCACTGTAGTCCGTCTGGTCTCACTGTAGTTTCTTTGGTCTCACTGTAGTCTCTCTGGTCTTACTCTAGTCTCTCTGGTCTCACTCTAGTCTGGTCTTACTCTAGTCTCTCTGGTCTCACTCTAGTCTCTCTGGTCTCACTCTAGTCTCTCTGGTCTCACTCTAGTCTCTCTGGTCTCACTCTGGTTTCTGGTCTTACTCTAGTCTCTCTGTTCTCGTTCTAGTCTGGTCTTACTCTAGTCTCCCTGGTCTTACTCTAGTCTCTCTGGTCTCACTCTAGTCTGGTCTTATTCTAGTCCCTCTGGTCTCACTCTCGTCTCTCTGGTCTCACTATAGTCTCTCTGGTCTCTCTCTCTGGTCTCTCTGGTCTTACTCTAGTCTCTCTGGTCTCTCTCTAGTCTGGTCTTACTCTAGTCTCTCTGGTCTTACTCTAGTCTCTCTGGTCTCACTCTAGTCTGGTCTTACTCTAGTCTCTCTGGTCTTACTCTAGTCTCTCTGGTCTCACTCTAGTCTCTCTGGTCTCACTCTAGTCTCACTGGTCTCACTCTGGTCTGGTCTTACTCTAGTCTCTCTGGTCTTACTCTAGTCTCTCTGGTCTCACTCTAGTCTCTCTGGTCTTACTCTAGACTCTCTGGTCTTACTCTAGTCCCTCTGGTCTCACTCCAGTCTCTCTGGTCTCACTCTAGTCTCTTTGGTCTCACTCTAGTCTCTCTGGTCTTACTCTAGTCTCTCTGGTCTCACTCTAGTCTCTCTGGTCTCACTCTAGTCTCTCTGGTCTCACTCTAGTCTCTCTGGTCTTACTCTAGTCTCTCTGTTCTCACTCTAGTCTGGTCTTACTCTAGTCTCTCTGGTCTCACTATAGTCTGGTCTTACTCTAGTATCTCTGGTCTCACTCTAGTCTCTCTGGTCTCGCTCTAGTCTCTCTGGTCTCACTCTGGTTTCTGGTCTTACTCTAGTCTCTCTGGTCTCTCTGGTCTCTCTCTGGTCTCTCTCTGGTCTTTTTCTAGTCTCTCTCTGGTCTCTCTCTGGTTTCTCTGGTCTCTCTCTGGTCTCTCTCTGGTCTCTCTCTGGTCTCTCTCTGGTCTTTTTCTAGTCTTCTCTCTGGTCTCTCTCTGGTTTCTCTCTGGTCTCTCTGGTGTCTCTCTGGTCTCTCTCTCTGGTCTCTCTCTGGTCTCTCTCTGGTCTCTCTCTGGTCTCTCTCTGGTCTCTCTCTCTGGTCTCTCTCTGGTCTTTTTCTAGTCTGTCTCTGGTCTCTCTCTGGTCTCTCTCTGGTCTCTCTCTCTGGTGTCTCTCTGGTCTCTCTCTGGTCTCTCTCTCTGGTCTCTCTCTGGTCTCTCTCTTGTCTCTCTCTGGGCTCTCTGGTCTCTCTCTGGTCTCTCTCTGGTCTCTCTCTGGTCTCTCTCTCGTGTCTCTCTCTGGTCTCTCTCTGGTCTCTCTAGTCTCTCTCTGGTCTCTCTCTGGTCTCTCTCTGGTCTCTCTCTGGTCTCTCTCTGGTCTCTCTGGTCTCTCTCTGGTCTGTCTCTGGTCTCTCTCTGGTCTCTCTGGTCTCTCTCTGGTCTCTCTCTGGTCTCTCTCTGGTCTCTCTCTCGTGTCTCTCTCTGGTCTCTCTCTGGTCTCTCTCTCTGTCTCTCTCTGGTCTCTCTCTGTTCTCACTCTAGTCTGGTCTTACTCTAGTCTCTCTGTTCTCACTCTAGTCTGGTCTTACTCTAGTCTCTCTGGTCTCAGTCTAGTCTGGTCTTACTCTAGTCTCTCTGGTCTCACTCTAGTCTCTCTGGTCTCACTCTAGTCTCTCTGGTCTCACTCTGGTTTCTGGTCTTACTCTAGTCTCTCTGTTCTCACTCTAGTCTGGTCTTACTCTAGTCTCTCTGGTCTTACTCTAGTCTCTCTGGTCTCACTCTAGTCTGGTCTTACTCTAGTCTCTCTGGTCTCTCTCTGGTCTCTCTCTGGTCTCTCTCTGGTCTCTCTCTGGTCTTTTTCTAGTCTCTCTCTGGTCTCTCTCTGGTTTCTCTCTGGTTTATCTGGTCTCTCTCTGGTCTTTCTCTGGTCTCTCTGGTATCTCTCTGGTCTCTCTCTGGTCTTTTTCTAGTGTCTCTCTGGTCTCTCTCTGGTTTCTCTCTGGTCTCTCTGGTCTCTCTCTGGTCTCTCTGGTCTATCTCTGGTCTCTCTCTCTGGTCTCTCTGGTCTCTCTCTGGTCTCTCTCTGGTCTCTCTCTGGTCTCTCTCTGGTGTCTCTCTTTGGTCTCTCTCTGGCCTCTCTCTGGTCTCTCTCTGGTCTTTTTCTAGTCTCTCTCTGGTCTCCCTCTGGTCTCTCTCTGGTCTCTCTCTCTGGTCTCTCTCTGGTCTCTCTCTGGTCTCTCTCTGGTCTCTTTCTCTGGTGTCTCTCTGGTCCCTCTCTGGGCTCTCTCTGGTCTCTCTCTGGTCTCTCTGGTCTCTCTCTCTGGTGTCTCTCTGGTCTCTCTCTGGTTTCTCTCTCTGGTCTCTCTCTGGTCTCTCTCTCTGGTGTCTCTCTGGTCTCTCTCTGGTTTCTCTCTCTGGTCTCTCTCTGGTCTCTCTCTGGTCTCTCTCTGGTCTCTCTGGTCTCTCTCTGGTCTCTCTCTGGTCTCTCTCGTGTCTCTCTCTGGTCTCTCTCTGGTCTCTCTGGTCTCTCTCTGGTCTCTCTCTGGTCTCTCTCTGGTCTCTCTGGTCTCTCTCTGGTCTCTCTCTGGTCTCTCTGGTCTCTCTCTGGTCTCTCTCTGGTCTCTCTCTGGTCTCTCTCGTGTCTCTCTCTGTGTCTCTGGTCTCTCTCTCTGGTCTCTCTGGTCTCTCTCTGGTCTCTCTGGTCCCTCGTGTCTCTCTGGTCTCTCTCTGGTCTCTCTCTCTCTGGTCTCTCTCTCTGGTCTCTCTCTGGTCTCTCTCTGGTCTCTCTGGTCTCTCTCTGGTCTCTCTCTGGTCTCTCTCGTGTCTCTCTCTGGTCTCTCTCTGGTCTCTCTCTCTGGTCTCTCTGGTCTCTCTCTGGTCTCTCTCTGGTCTCTCTCTGGTCTCTCTCTGGTCTCTCTCTGGTCTCTCTCTCTCTCTCTCTCTCTCTGGTCTCTCTCTGGTCTCTCTCTGGTCTCTCTCTGGTCTCTCTCTGGTCTCTCTCTGGTCTCTCTCTGGTCTCTCTCTGGTCTCTCTCTTGTCTCTCTCTGGTCTCTATCTAGTCTCTCTCTAGTCTCTCTCTAGTCTCTCTCTGGCCTCTCTATGGTCTCTCTATGGTCTCTCTCTCTGGTCTCTCTCTGGTCTCTCTCTGGTCTCTCTCTGGTCTCTCTCTGGTCTCTCTCTCTGGTCTCTCTCTGGTCTCTCTCTGGTCTCTCTCTGGTCTCTCTCT